GCTCCAACCCGCGGAAGTTCAGCGAGAAGATCGCGCTGCACAACCAGAAACAGGCGGAGGAGACGCGGGCCTTCGAGCAGCTCATGACAGACCTCACCGTCTCAAGGGTAAGCACAGCCAAATTAGGAATTACCTCACTCCCTCGATTTCATACATCATATGCAGATGCCTAACGTTAAGTGTGTCCTATGCGCAACTGAACCACTGTGAATGTAAAATGCCCGACAGATCGAGCTCATGAGGAGGGATGAGAATGTCAGTGTCTCTCTGACTGCTGTCATTCACACTGCACGCGGCACGCGCTCGATTCATACGGACGTTATTAAAGCGATCATACTTTTTTAATTGATCTCATCCTATTTTCTAGTCATCACTTCATGATTTGTGCATTTTGTTTAGTATCAGCTGTGAGTAGCGGCAATTGTATTTTTTCTTTTAGTACAGATGTTTTTGATAGTCACGATGACCCTATGGTCAAATCACTATGGCAACCATAGTTTCCAGCCAAGCTACCATAGTTACCACAGTTATTGTTTGTTACTACAATAAAACTGTGGTAATAACGTATATGACAGAATGAAAACAGAAACAGAAGAGATGATTCTTTCTATGATGTAGCTATGTTGATATGTGGGGTGGGGGTCTATGATATCTCAATGATATCTCGAGATATACTTCATCAAGTCTTTGAGAAGTTGAAATCAAATGTTGTCTTTAAAAATATTGTTTGAAATAATGTTTGTGTGTGATTTCTTAAAACAGAATCACAATGTAAAGTAGTTCACTCGAATACAATTGTATTATTTATTACACTTTTTTTGAGTGTGAGGTATGTGATGTAAAGTTTTTAAATTTGCACCTTTTTTGGATATGCCGAGGGAGTTTATTTGTTTGCGGATTGCAATGGATAATGTACAATCAGTCAATTGTTATTGGAAAATAAACCCGACACGGTTATCATGTGGAACGCACCGCAAAAACTAGCCTGATAGATAAGTTACACGCTGACGACTGACCGTCGGCCTGGTGTGTCCCTGCCTTAAGATACAGTATTGCCCTTGACATCAATTCTTTTTCAGAAATACTTGACTGCATGATGCAGCGACTGAACCAGAATCAAATCATTCCAATGAATGAAAAATCAGCTGAAGAGAAAAGCCATTTAACACTCTGAAATATAAAAGTTTTCGCAGTAATGGCATAGAAGAATCCTCTACCACACAGTTCTTAAAATAACTCTTTTTCTGTCTCAGTGAAGATCTTCATGGAATCATCAATGCCAACCTTTATTTTTTAAAGAGTGCTAAAACTTGACTGATTTTATATTGTTGTAACAATCTTACTCATGCCCTAGAGAAGATTCACTTAATAGGCTGATTTTAAACAAGGACTATTAACTGGTGTTTTGTCAGAAGCTGTGGTAAACATTTATTGGGGTCATGTTGTCAAAGGCTTTTATTATGCTGTGCTGCTTTGCATTTTCAGTTTCATTTACATGTAAACATTTAGAGTAACATTTGTAATGGTGAACAACATCATCCCCTAGCTTTGGACTGACCAGTAAAAGAGCATGTTCAGGCTACTTTACTGTTAGTTGTGAAAAAATGCTTTTGTGTATCTTGAGTTTGAGTTGATGTCTGCGATCATATTTTTTTTTTTAGCGACTGAATTATGGATCCGAGAAAGGTTAAGAAATGTCGGTCAGGTGTAGTAGTTCAACTGTTGGTCTTTCACCAGTAGGAAGTGTTTTACCAGAAAGCAGCTCTGCGTCAGACAGCACTCTGTCTCTGTGTGTGGAGTCTGTAGGCGGGAATGAATGAACATGATCTGCCAGTTCATGATTTGGCTGCCTCTTCTTCTAGGGCACAAGAACGGGGTTGTGTTTGTGTTATAGTACGTTGTCAGAGTTTAAAGTCATAACTCTTTACACACAATTTTTCTTGACAATGGAATGAGCCCTTGAGGAAAATGCTTGCATTTCAGAGAAGTAAAAAAAGAGAGGCAAGTTTGTGAAATCTGAAGCATTTCTTGAATTTTACTTTGTAATTTTTAAGCATTGTCATCTTTAAAGGGGTCATGAACTGGTCTTTTAAATTTTATTATATTGTTTGTTTTCTGAGGTCAACTTATGACGTTCGCTTGGTTTTTGCATTCAGAAACATCAAAATGAATAAGTAATAGGCTATTTTGTACCCAAGTTTTGAGCCTACCTGAAAAACGTTTGGTTTGTATGGGCGTCTCGCACTGAAGACTTGGAAGTAAACGCCCACTGCTGTGAGTGGATAACAGTTTTGCATATTATATTGAGTTTCAACTCACCCATCAATGCACTTGGGGAAATTTTTTTGAAAACGTCCAATGTTGTAAAATGGCAACAGGAATGATTCGACCCAGAGTCCGTGTGTTGCACAATTCCACAATTCAGATCCAATATAGACGGCACAGCACCGTTCTTTACTCTTAATCGGTCTGCAAATCCAGTCTTGTTTACAGGGCAATCCTTAGGGAAATGAAGGCGAGCAGACGGACGATGTTTTACCTCATCTGCTAGAATGTCATTAAAAATAAAGTTTAACCATGAAGTCCTATTGGAATCCAAAGGAAGCTTATGCAGCGACTGTCTTCTTCCACAACCAGGCACTGCACAATATTTTGCTTGGTAGCTCGATCCGGTTTGTCATCACGAGTAAGGCTGTGAAACGATTAATCGTATCCAAAATAAAGTTTGTGTTTATTTAATTTATGAGTGTGTAGTGTGTATAATTATTTTGTATATATAAAAACACACACATGTGACATGCATGTATATATTTAAGAAATATTTGTATCTATATACTTTATATATATTTATAAAAAAATTATATTATACATAAATATAAATATTTGATATATTAATAACACATTTTTTTAAATATATACATGCATATGTGTGTATTTATATATACAATATAATTATTATACACACAACACGCATATATTATGTGAATAAAAACTTATTTTGGATGCGATTAATCACGATTTATCGTTTCACAGCCCTATAGGTAGGCATCTATGTTATTTAGCTATGCGTGTAATGCACGAATCGGTGGGCGGTAGGCGCGATAACCGCAATATTGTGGTACCGCACTTCTGACAAGTCAACCGCAGAGGATTGCACATAACCGCAGCAACCGCGATATTCACATTTTTTTATGAGGCTATACCCTTCTTGTTTTGAACTTAATGCATGTGTATTGAATATTAAACAAGTTCATAATGATAACAAGACTTTTTATCATGGTGATGTCATGTGTAGCCTACAGGCTTCACACAGACAGTGAATGAGAGAGATCGGCAGAGCGCGTGCAATTACCTGCGTCTGCCTTTTAAGTTGTGAAAAGCTTGTCGTGTCAAAGGGAAGCGAAATATTTGTCGCATCATCATTTTAACGTTCTTTTCACGGGTAGTTTCCCATAAATGCGCGTCAGCAGCAGCGCTGGTCAGCGTCTCACTGCACAAGGAAGCCGCGAGGAAATAAAATCAGTGAGTCACGCATTGAATCAATGCTATATTGGTCTCTAATAAGTGAAGCATCAGCTTCAGCGTTGCCCATGCGACACATTGCTGCTCAGCTGAGCCTTGAAAAGTTGAACCTCAAAGTTAAAAATAATAAACATCTTGTTTCATTACATCTCTTTTAATTAATCAGCTTTTTTAAACGTGTTCGTTGAATGAACGTTTCAATGACTCACTCAAAGTCCGTTGTCATAACAATATGTGCGCTGAGTGAAGTCTTTCAATGCGCATATACTGTAGACGCTGTTTAGTTTCGATTACATTGGTTACTGAAAATGTCCTCGTTTTTGTCCACATTTGATCCACATTTGCTATATTTATATAGCAACAAATACATATAAATTAAATAAATAAATAAATGGCGGTAATACCGCATATTGAGCCACTCAACATTACCGCAAGGGAAATTCCATAACCGCGACAGCCCTAGTGGGTGGGGCTAAACCGGACATGTTGATTAGGTGTTGATCTTCTTCTGCGGGGGTGGTGTTTTAACCCCTTTGACGTCATAGTTCCCCACTTTTCAAAACGAGTCGTTTGCGGGGCTGGTGTCAATAAAAGCTTTTATTGGACTAACAAGGCTGTTTTTAGTTCTGAAACTTACAGGATATTCTTATAATATGATGACCTCTTAGATGTCAAAAGCTCAAGGACATTTTGATTTCTAAGTTCATCACCCATTTAACAAAATCAATACTTGATATATAGTATATCAATACTTCATCAATAATTGAGAATGTTTATGTGTGGAGACTACTGACAGATAAAAAAAAAGATTGTTGTAGGAATTGCATTTTTTTAGACACATTTTCAATGAATGTATTGTAGCTTTCCAAACATTGTCAGCAATGATCCACCAGTGAAATTAGTGGACTGTGTCTTGAAATTAGTAAGTATGGCAATAATGCCAAAGCAGCAAAGTGTGTCATTTGCAATGAAATGACTAACAATGCTTCTGGCATGTCAAAGTGACCACCACTTTTCTTTGTGTTTGGTTTCTCGACATTTCTCGTGGCGCTCAAATAAACAGCATTGCCACAGTGTTTACTCTGTAAACTTTTCGAGGAAGTGAATCTACAAATTGTTTAATTATATTTATGGTGTCTGTCTGGACATTAAACTGGTATGTCAAACAGAGAGATCATTTGATAATTTTTGTCGAACAGTTGTCTTCTTTCAAAACAAAAACACTCTTCAGAATTGGACGTCTGCTTGTAGAAACAGATCTGACACCTTGGATGGATCTGAGAGAGTTGGCAGAAAGCAAAGACCAGATGTTTTGCAGAGCTGTATTGAGTCTTCCCACTATAGCCATTTTGTGTAGGATGTGATAAACAGAAATGTAAACAGAACCGTTATGTGTGCCGTTATAACGCTTGTTGTCCATAAGACCACTACATGTTTGCAAGTCATCCAGCTGCAGGCGTGCTAACTGCCCTTTGGGCATGTCCAGCCTATGCAAGGAGTGGATCAAGGTGTCTCTGTTAGGCCACGGTCACTAGACTTTGTTCGTAATCTACTGCACTTTACTTTTTTTTAGTTCAGCTAAGAGTGTCATATCAATCTTCTATTGGTCGGACCTCTTCACGTGATGCAAATTTTCAGAGTGACCAAACTTGAACTTCGGAAAGCTGCTAAAACTTCTTTGCGTGAGCTTGTGTTTCTTGTCTCCAGCATTCACTTGCATATAAATGAAAGTCAATGGAACAAAAGTGTAGTGTGTGTCTGCCACTTTAATTTTAGATACCATTTTTCATCTTAAGAGTTTCTTAGTAAAAGCAAAGTCCTTTTAGGCAAGACATGCCACTCGCCGCCATCTTGGCAACGCCTCCGGGCAGCTATTTCGGACTTAACAAGACCAGGCTCCTATCTAAATGAATGGGCAGAGAGTCAGAACTGCACTTTCACTGGTCACCCGGACATAAAAACTGCATGTATAGAAACAGCAGTAAAATATGATAAAAATCGCTGAAGAAGTTTGATGACTTTGCCCCAATATAAGGTTTAAAACGCCGTTTTCCCACAGGTTATACTTTTACTGCGCATGCGCAAGGGTTCTCTCGCTCTGTCGCGCCTGCGCTGCACAGTTTGAAACACAATATGTGAGTGCGCTCTTGCTCGGTCGCGCTAGATTCCAGGAGATTTTTTAACTAATTTGCGGGCATCAATGAGCCTCATATCAATCTGCGGGAGACACCCGGAACTTCTGGGAGACTTGGGATGTCTGATATTTACACAACGCACACATACACTGCATATCAAATCTGCCGCCTTTTCAAACAGTAACGTATTTAAATGTTTCCCAGCTTGACCGTTAAAAGCAGACGATTGGCTGTCCAGCGGGAAGGGCGGGGCATTTGCATACAACCACCATCTTTGGTGTTACGGGTTTTCCCTTTGTATTAAGGAAGTGGCATGTCTCTATATAAATAATCTCTGGTAAAAGTTACTAATATTAAAATTGAGAAGTGAATGCACCGCTCATGAGGAAAATATTTAATTAGGGAAACTAGTTAAATTAGTTTATTTTTAATGTAAAATAATGGAAAACATTTTTTTGACGGAAATAATACACTCAAAAAATATTTAGGCCCAAATTTAAGACTATGTATTTGAATTGTTATTGCAAATAAAAATTTGATCTGGTTGGATTCGCCTCCTTTATTATTATTATTATTATTATTATTATTATTTTTTTTATCATTAACTACTTTGTGGCATTTTTGTCAGTCATACATAAATGAAACGGGTTTCTCCACAAAAAAATCATGACGTAGTATATTATTATTTGTTGCTGCAATTTAAAAATAGGATTATTCAACCAAAGTGCTAAATCTTTTAATTGGGAAAACTATTAAATTTAGGGATGTCCCGATCAGGTTTTTTTGCCCTCGAGTCCGAGTCATTTGATTTTGAGTATCTACCGATACCGAGTCCCGATCCGATACTTCTATAATATATACAAAAAAGAATAAAGAAGAGCGAAAAAACAGATCACTTTTCAAACAGAGCACTTTTCTGAGGTAGCTTGAACAATCAGGTAATAAACATAAATTCTTAAAGGGATAGTTCACTTTGAAATTAATTTTTGATATGTTTTAGCTTACCTCAAGGGCATCCAAGATGTAGGTGTCTTTGTTTCCGCAATATTTTAAATTTTGACATTTTTCAGTCAAACCGTTGTTGTCTATCAGTCATACACTGGAGGCTAAGGGGGTCCACCTCAAAGAGCATGCACAGAGAAGTCAAAATTAAACATGTTTCAATGACTTGTAAATGTAAGTACACATTGATGGCCTAAGACACGAAACGAGCGGTTTGTGTGAGAAAACAAACAGTATTTATATCGTTTTTACCTCTTGTAATCATAGCCATGACAAAATGACCTGACTGCACGGAGGCTTCGGTCTGCGCATGCGCCGGAAGTGATCGCTTGCGCACCTACGTCACTCTTTGTTTATACAGAGATTTCGGAAGTTTTACCTTTCACTAAACATATTTAGATATCCGGGAAACCGCAATGGAAGACGATTTCGATATATCTAAATATGTTTAGTAAAAGGTAAAACTTCCGAAATCTCCGTGTAAATATTGAGTGACGTCACACGCAAGCGATCACTTCCGGCGTAACATTGAACTGATTCAGTTCGGTTCAGTTGGACATTGCACAACTGATTCAGATCACTTGGACGTCACTACGTTATAAATACTGTTCGTTTTCTCACACAAACCGTTCGTTTCGTGTCTTAGGCCATCAATGTGTACTTACATTTACGAGTCATTAAATCATGTTTAATTTTGACTTCTCTGTGCATGCTTTTTGGTAGTAACATATTCAGTTAGTTAAAATTGAGATTGAAATAAATTAGATTTATTAATGAGAAATATATCAACATGTTTGCTGTGTATTTAAAATATGAAATCAGATTATTAGTAGTACCATTACAGAAATCTTAAGAACTCTTTTTCTTAACTAATGTTTATATGTCTGACGCACATGCTTCACATTAAAATTATTAGTTTATGTTAAAACTGTGTAATCAAAATGGATGGACATTTTATGTGCAATTCAAATATGTAATTCTTTAAATTTAGGCTTAAATATTTTTTGGA